AAATATATATATATATTTTAGGAATAGCTTGAAACTTAGGACCATGTTGCCTTCTCCCAGTGATGACCTATATTTGATGCTAGCAAGCATACATACACATATTATATTATATTATATTATATAACATTCTGAATGTATATTTTGAATATACTTAGAATATATACAATATTTAGACTTTGTAATTATGATTATTGCTACCATTTATTGATTTTCCCTCATTCAAAAGCCCAGTACAATGTATAGGAAATTGTATCAACGTTTTAATTTAAAAAGTATTAAAGTATGAAATTATTCTTCTCAATGTTCCTTAAATAAGTAAAATAAAAATTATTGAAACATTTTATTTATAATTTAAATATATGTAAAAAATATTAAATATAAGATGATGAAAGAAAACATAATAAATAATAATGCTGAGCATTTTACCTGCTGAGTCACTGCTGCAGCTAAATTTCCTCCAGCACTGTCTCCAGAAATACCAACTCTCCCAGGGTCTACACCATAGCTTTCAAGAACTTTGGGGTGCAAAAACCACTTTAATGCAGTGTATACATCTTCAAATTGAGCTGGAAAATGATACTTTGGGGCTAGTCTGTAGCTGTAGGTATAAAAGCAATGTTTCCTTAATTATTTATATTTACTTATGTACCAAAACAAAGCATGTGCTCCCAATACAAAATCAAAAGTAAAATTTTGTTTTAACCAATATGGTATTTTTGATATGTTCTATTAATTGCAAGTCATGCTTTTCTTAATCATGAAATATGATGAGCAATGACTAAATGTTGTCATTTTTATAAACAAGATCAAAATTTTGAATGCAAAATCTGGTTCAATCTTAAAGAAATACTGTTTAGCTGCTATCTTTTCCTTGATAAAATTGTTCCATAATGATTGTTTTTGACAATTGCTGCATCTTTTTATAATCAATTATTATTATTACATATTTGTATCTCTGGAATTACTTTTTCAACCTTATCAAAATATTTCTATTTCACATATGACTATTACTATATCGTTTCATAAATTCTGATTTTTCTTAGTTTTAAATTTATGTAATTCTCACGGAGTGTGTTCTACAGAAATTTCAAATCTTTTTCTACTCTTCATAAAGTGTACACTAGAATATAATTTGAGGTATGTTGTGTCTTAACTTTCATGGTTAATTTTGTAATATTTGCTTTCATCAATGGATTACCAGGTTTAAGCACCATCCCAAGCACTATAAATGTATTATAATATTTAATCCTTAAATTAACACTGAAATGTACAGATTGTTATTATTAGAAGTTATATATCTTTAAAATGTCACACATTTATCAATTTGCAGAAGCTACATTTTATCCCAGTCCTGTCTTCAAAGCCCTCATCCCTAATGATCTGCTAATTATAAGGAAAAAACCTAGAGGCAGTTAAGTCCTTGTGACACTGTGGGTTAATGTCACTCGGCCATTTCTTGACTTCCCTGTCTTTGTTCCTTCTTGAACTGTATGTGTGTATGACTTTTTTCCCTGATGCTAGACAGGGCAGCCTCTGACATTAGTTTTCTCTGTTCATACTCGGTGTTTCAGTGATATAGATTAATGTTTATATAACAAAACACTCAATATAGTTGAATAAATATTGGTATGTAAGGCATCCGGTCTAAAATCAAACCAACACAGCTCTTACTTGGTTGATATGATGACTGCATCAAGTCTGTCTGCTGTCCACCTTGACAGTAAGTCATAACCTTTAAAAGCTGAAATAAAAAAAATACTGAAATATTAATAAGAATTGAAAATGACACTGTTAAGAATAAAGTTTACGGTGATGGCTTTATATTTCATGTATTTATCTTGAAATACTATACATATAAAGAAAACATCAAATACAAGGTTCATGTTCATCAATGCACATACATACATCTCAATAGAATATGAATTATTCTTCTCAGTGGTCATTTCACTTGCCCTTGGTCATCTTTCCTTTCCCTTTGCTACATTTCCAAATAGTCTGTTCTAAACTAGCTTGGTCTAGCTGCCTGGTATATGATCAGCACGTAGTTAGAGGCCACAGAAGGCGAATGTGAAGACACGTGTTCTCTGACTTTGAGGAGCTTGCATCCATGGGGGCAGTGGCAGCAATATAACAACAA